GCATGTTTTCTCATAACCTCCCTATCGTTGGCCTTTTCTCCGATTTTCTTCTCCTTCCAAGTTCAAATGTCACCTCTAACTTCAGATCTGGTCCTTTTCCACCCACCGCTGTGCTAAAATATGTCGGGTCTCTTTTGAAAGTCTTCCTCAGCGATAAGTTATAGTGGGTCGAATTTTGTCGGGTTGATCAATATCCAAACCGACCCAGTGTATACTAAACCCGATAGAGTCTTAAAATTTTCGGGTGGGTTTGGGTTGAGATTTATCAAAACCGACATATAAGGGTCGGGTGGTCAAATTAGCCTAAAACCGACCCACCCGACCCATGTTCATCCCTAATGGCTACTCCTAATGCAAAGCGGGACTATTTGGGTTGCTTGGAATATGCAGTATAGGGTGAAAACTGGTAGCATTTGGATAATAAGGTCCTCTTCTAGTAGTTCGTGGGCTTGGAGACGAATAATCAAAGTTTGTTCTTCTGTCCAGTCTCATTTTTCAGAGCATGGGGCCTCTCTTTGCTGGGATGGTACTCCGATGAAGGGCTTTACTATAAGAGTGATTTGGGAATCTCTTAGGAAGAAGTGGCCCGTGGTATCGTGGGATAAACTAGTTTGGGGGAAGGGGTATATCCCTGGACCTAGTTTTATTACTTGGTTGGTTTTGCAGGACACTATAGTAACGAGGGACAAGCTACTCAAATGGGGTAATTGGTTGATGGAACTTGTGTTCTATGCAACTCTAGTCCTGAATCAAGGGGCCATTTGTTTTTCCAGTGTGTTTTTTCGTAGGAACTGCTAGGAATCCTCCGCTGCACGCAGTGGTGTCGAGGTACATGGCTGGACACAGTTCCTGCTGCATGTCAGCTTAGATCACAGAAGATAGCAGCGGGGAGAATGATGGGATGACTCTGGTGCTTCTGTGTTTCCAGCATATGGAAAGAAAGGTGTAAGCGACTTTATGGGAATGCTCCTCGTAGTACAGTGGTGGTGGAAAATGCTATTCTGCATGATTTAAGATTCCTTAGTACTTGTAATGTTCCTACGACAAGTGATTTGCAGGCATTAGGGTTGATTTGAGGGCTGATGGCTGATGTAGTGTAGGTCTCTATTTTTTGGTTGTTTGTTCTGAGAATAGGAGAGTGATGTTCTCCGTTCTTGCTTGGGCTGGGCCCAATTTCGTTGTATCTGTTTTTGGCTTTAATGAGAAAGAGGAAACCGATTCAACGAAAAAAATACAAAAAAAAATTACAAAATCATGTAGCCTCGGCTCTACTATTTGTCAAACTTCTAATTTCTGAACGGATTTTGAACATCATCTAAACTGAGGTTAACAAATAACTTTCTCTCTAGCATCGTCGACAACGCTCATTTTAAACAAAGCTCAACACCATGGACCAAAAGAGTTTCCCTTACCTTCTCCTGCTACTGGTTCCTTTCAAAAACTGTATAGCCCACCATAACATTGTTGACACCCAATCAAGATAAGTAGGAATTGGGGAAAATCTATCAAACAATTTGGAAGCATATAGACTGTGAAAGAACAAGAAAATTTTTAATGCTTTTTAGTCCTTCTGGACAAGTGGACATAGCACACATGCTGTCCCCCCCCCCCCCCCCAAATAGCCAACTTATCTTTTGTATAGAGTTGTTCCATCACAATCAACAAAAGAAGGAAGCTATGTTTAGGAATACTAACTTACCCCATACAAGCTCAGACCCCGGGACTATTTCTTTCCTATTATGTGTTTGGACGAGTTTGTTATTTCCTTATCCTATATAAAGGATTAAACACGAGTTTTTGATTTTGAAAAATAGTGATATTATCTTGGTTCATTGAGTTTTAGACTTGTGAATTCTTTATATGATAAAATCGAGTTTTCCCCTTGATTATGGTTGAGATTCTACTATTATTAATAGAGCCTTTTCCCAGGTGCGAGATTGCACTTCAATTCCGCCTTATCCCTATTTCTTATTCTTGTTCTTAACTCGTAACTTTGATAACTACGCGCACCGGTTTCGTGCTCGTATCACTCGTCCCTCCAAGGTCACTAAAGAAACATCCTTTTTCTATACGAAAAAGAAGATGGAATAGGATTCCTGGCCCCATAAGGTGAGTGAATTTTCTCTCAGAATGTATAAGCAATCTAGATTCTTAAATCCTTAAAAATTTTACACCATCAAGTGAGGAAGTCAAATCCCTCACAAATTCTAGATGCCCATTTGATGAGGGATTTGGATGCAAAATTTTGCCTAAATCCCTCATTTTATCGAATTTCATCTAAAGTCTGAAATTCCCTCCATCCTAACACTAAAATAAAGATCGAAAAGGCCAAAAAGACCCCCCCTAGAGCCTTAAATTCGACTCTAGACCTTTGACTAGCCACCATTTTTATCACCGTCAATACCTCATCGTTGAAATCCATACTCAATTCCTAGAGGATATACCATATACCACATTCAACTTATCTTCTTCCTAGTGTTGTACGATATCCCTTTCGTATCGTCTGCTTCTCTAGAGGTATGTAAAATTGTTACCTGTAGTACTTAAATAGAGTAACAACATCAACGAGTTCTCATCTTAACACCTTGCAAGTCGAGGGAGCTCCTCGATTCGAAACATACGATTCTTCATCGGCGAACAAGTGTTGAGTTATGGATTTACGTATAGGCTTTTAGCCCATTGTACTTTGAATACTAGAAGTTGTAGGCTTAGTCTAGCGTAGCCCTACTTTGCTCGATCCCTCTCTATCTCGGTTAGGGTTAGGAGACATATATATAGTTGTATCTCGAACTTGCATTGAAGCTAAGTTAATACGAGAGTAGATAGCTTCGGCCGTGGACTAGTCTTGATCACACCGATCACGGAAACCACGTAAATACTTGATGACTCGATATTAGCACATGTTTCCCCCCTGTTTCTTGATCGTTTAAGCTTGCATTATCCCGTCTTTGGCCTATTTTACGCTAGGTTGTGTTCCTTTGTCACATTTCAGTTCCTAGTGAGTAAAGGGAGGCATAGACGCAAGTTTCAAGTCAATCGGATATCAATTGGCGATTCGGGAGAAGAAACTCGGGCATGACCTGAAGAAGAATCGTCTTTGGCCTATCCCGTCTCTGGACCCCGCTAGTGTTTTTACTGCCGATGACGTGTCGTGAGGGCTGGTGGGGGCAAAACACGGGCGGGCAAAAGTAAAACACGACCGTGTCCTCCACCGTGTTTAGCCCAGAATCGGGTTTTTGAGGCAGATTCAAGCCAAAGGAAAGAGAGAGCTGGGTTTTGGTTCCCAAACACCCAAGGGACGAACCCTATAGAGAGAGAGCGACTTGAGAACATTCTTGGAGCAATTTTGGACGATTTCTCGCCATTGGAGCTCGGGAATCAAGCTTGGAGATGGAGATTGAAGATCTAGATCAGATTTCGGCAGTCTCTCTCTTCTCTATGGAGTAACCTCTCTTCACTTAGATTTTGAGGAACCCTAGTTCCATGTGTTAGGATCTTTCTTGTATGAAGTTTTGGATGCTATATTGTTTGATTATAATCGATTGAGGCATGATTTATTGAGTCAATTGAAGCCTGATCATCTTCTCTTGATTTCAGCTTTAACCTATGATAGATAGAATCTGATTTGGTTGATAGAGCTTCTTCAATTGATAGGTGTGAGTTGATTGTATGAGAGTCAGTCAATTCACTGCTTTCTATTGGAATTCGTTCCCAGTAGTGGAGATCTGTGTGAATCGCCTTAGCAGTCTATCTCGGTAAAGGCTAGTCGCCAACCGGGTATTCTATCTAAGAGGGCTTGGTCAGCTTAAGAGATTCCAAGCTAATCTAGGATCTTCCGCAGTTTAATCAACAGTAAAACAACCAATAGGAATTACAATTTGGACCTAATTGACGAGCTAGGAGGAATCATACCTAAGTGAGTTCCCAACTTGTAATTAGTAGAGTAGTTTAGTAAATCAATCCTTAATCTAATTTGCTAGATAATGAACTGAAGCTGAGTAATAGTAACTCTAGAGACCCGTGGATTCAATATTTATTACTTGTGCCACCATACTGCAGTCCCTTTCATTGGTTACACTTGGCCATTGTTAGGTGTTGTGTCGTAGCATGTCAATACTGGTGTGCTTTCGTTTCTAGTTTGATTAATCTTCGCTACAATAAGTTAACAACAAGAACCCTATTCTTAATTTGATCAGTGATGACCAATCCAACAACTGAAAAAGGGGACCGGCGACTTCAATGCACTTGTCAGGGAATTTTTGAAATCTTTCATGCTTAAAATCACTCATTGTTCAAGCATTTCTCAAACGAGTTGTTTCATTGAAATCACTCATAAAACACCCTCGCACCCAAACAACTCCAAATAATTGTTCTCATCACATATACAAATTAAAAACCTAAATTTCTAAACGAATAATTTCGACTAAAACCCCTTAATATTCTAAAAAAACCCCTCATCCAAACGATCCCTAAAGTTTTCCGTTTCTATTCCTTTTACCGGTACATGAAAACAATTGAAGAGATGCATGGTATTCTCAATTTGCCCGAGTACCGATTTCCACAAGTAAAGCAAAGTCAATTCCAGGCCGCCGTGTCTCGATCGAGGTTCAAATTTTTTTTGTTCCAGTGAGCCCCGTTTTCTGACTGGCGATGATACTAGAAATGGGGTAAGGATATGAACAATTGCATCATGACAACAACACAGAAGAGCTGACTGACACCACTCAATCATGGCCAGGCAAGCCGGCAGCCGGCCCAATTTTCTCTTTCTTTTTCTTTTCTATAATAATAATAATAATAATAATAATAATAATAATAATAATAATAATAATAATAATAATAATAATAATAATCTTTCTAGTTTCTACTGATCAAGCCATCGCTCCGATTGCTTTCCTACAAACAACTCGATTTTCTTGGCTGTCACCGCAGACACAAACAAACCAAAACCAACCAAAAATGATACAACAAAGATACCCATTTCCCTATATATATATATTTGCCTCCCTCTCATTCCTAAAAAATACATCGCACAAAAATGGCTCGCCGGGTGCTCCACCACAACTCAAGTAATCATCATCCCAACAATGTCACCTCCCCATTGTTGTCGCTCTCTCTCGCCCTTCTGTGCCTTCTCTCGGCTCCGGCGGCATCGGCCCAGCTCACCCGAACCCACTACGCCGGCGTGTGCCCGAACGTGGAGGGCATCGTGCGAGGTGCGGTCCAGAAGAAGATCCAGCAGACATTCGTCACCATCCCGGCCACCATCCGCCTCTTCTTCCACGACTGCTTCGTCCAGGGCTGCGACGCCTCGGTGATGGTGGCGTCGGCGGGGAGCAACAGGGCCGAGAAGGACCACCCGGACAACCTGTCGCTCGCCGGCGACGGGTTCGACACCGTGATCAAGGCCAAGCAGGCCGTCGATGCGGTCGCCGGGTGCCGGAACAAGGTCTCCTGCGCTGACATCCTCGCCTTGGCCACCAGAGACGTCATTGCCCTGGTAATCAATTTAATTATTATGATTCATCCATTCATTCATTAAATCATTTGTGTGTCTCAATTAACAAATAATAATACAAATAATAATTGTTGCAGTCCGGCGGGCCATCGTACCCGGTTGAATTGGGAAGGCTGGACGGGCTGAGGTCGACAGCTGGGAGCGTGAACGGGAGGCTGCCGCAGCCCAATTTCAGCCTGGCCCAACTCAATTCCCTCTTCGCCGCCAACGGCTTGTCCCAGTCCGATATGATCGCTCTCTCCGGTAATCTAATCTAATCACCTTCCTCTCTACAAACTCCCATCACATTATTACAATCAATTTCTCGTTAACTCGCTACATGACATGATGATTAACGATTACAAAAAAAGAAGTTAATCGGTGAGCGGGTGACGGATCTGGTGGGTCCCGCCGGCACGTCAAACCTTCATTTTTTTGTCGGATCTCTCTGGTTGTTTGCTTAACTGGCCATTTGTGAGTTGTTGGGCACTTTGTTTGGAAGCTTGCTGACTCACCAAAGCAAAATTAGAAAAGCTCGATTTCTTGTTAGCAGTAATTTTTTTTTTTTTTTTTTGACAAAGATTTCTTGTTAGCAGTAGAAAGGCTGCGAACTGTTAAATGACTAGAATGGACCCAGCGGGCACGCATGCCATATAGTAGATGCTACAGTTGTATAAAGTAAGCAAACTTTAGTGTAGAAAATAGAAACTGATTGATTCTCTGGTACCAACCACTAGTGGGATTTTCAACTTTGCTATTGTGCTCACGCACCCTAGCAATGTCGGATCGGACACGGGTGATTAACGATTATTGGATGAAAACGGTGATAATTTTTTTTTGTAAATAATATGCATTTTCATTTCTTCGACCACATATCTGTCTGTGACCATGTTATTATAAGATGCATCTGAGTAGTATAGTCGGGTTGTAGATTCCAAATTTTTTAAGTCATCGTTTCAAATTGTGTGAAGTTAGTTTGTTCTTTCTCTTTTAATATAGAAAAATTACAAGCTGTCTTATATTTTGAACCATGACCTGAGTGTGACTATCTTGGAAGAAGTTCATCGACTGTTCAAGCCAGTTTTTTTTTCCCTTTTTTTTCCTTTCTTCTATTTGTACGTCTCAAAATTTTAATAGAGTTGCTCATTTAATAGCAACAATGTCAAATCGTAAGTAGTTCAACTACTTATCGACTACGCGTTTGATTTCTGAACTCGTTGTCACTTGACTCTATTTTTTAATAGGGTTGTTCATTTGGTACTTATCTTATTGATTTCTTTTTTACTGGCAGCTGCCCATAGTGTCGGGTTTTCTCATTGTGGCAAGTTCGCGAACCGGATCTACAACTTCAGCCGGGGAAACCCGGTGGACCCAACCCTTAACCGAGCCTACGCGACCCAGCTACAGCAGATGTGCCCTCGAAACGTTGACCCAAGGATAGCCATCAACATGGACCCAATCACGCCCAATACTTTCGACAACACCTACTTCAAGAATCTCCAGCAAGGCAAGGGCCTGTTTACATCGGACCAAATTCTCTACACGGACCTCAAGTCCAGGCCCACTGTCGATGCATGGGCCGGAAACTCGGTTGCTTTCCAGCAGGCATTCATTACTGCCATCACAAAGCTGGGTCGGGTTGGAGTCAAGACGGGTCGTGGTGGGAATATCCGGACGGATTGTGGTGTTCTGGGTCGATAATAATGTGAAAAGTTGGATAATGACACCAAACGTCTTGTTGTTTCTTTTCCTTTTTTTCTTCTTACTATGGCGAAGAGAATTTATTTTAGGCACACAAGTGGATTACATTACAGCACAAATCAAAACTACCTTTGTATGTTGACCCAAAAAAAAAAAAAATCTACCTTTGTATGAGTTTGATTTTTTTTTCCCAATTATAATAATTAAATTATTTCAAATATATGCACTCTTTTGAAATCATTCATGAGTGGCTTCCATTCCGACGTATTTTTTGCACTTCTTAGTGTTTGCGGAATTAATGATAATTGGTTGAGAGGTATTTCGTCACAAATTATAATCTAAACTTGATTTCTAGCTCATTGCATGCCCGTCAGAAATGATAGTTTTAAAAAGAAAAATATATGTTTCTTTAATCCAAAAAAGAATACCATTGATTATGAGAGCGGATAGGGTTAAAACAATATCCTAAAAAATCAATCTAAATCTATCCATCTTAATCAAATCAAAGGGGTCAAAATAGCTCAAAATCAATATAAAAAAAACTAAGAAGCGAACTGGTAATTTTGCATCCCTATGTTATTTTAATTGTTTATTTTTTTATTTATACTGATCTAGTGATGAGAGAAGATACTTAGAACTAAGCTTACTTTTTATAATCTCTTATTTTACTTTATTAGATCTTATCTCATTTGTTTTAACTCTGAATTTAAACAACTTTATGTAGAAATAATGCATTAGTTATGAGAAGGATAACTATTTGCTATATTTTGAGGGGGAAAAACAAAGTAGTTCTTGAAAAGTATATTAGTTGTAGTATTATTGCTATATATGATGATATATCTATTTCTTTTTAACTCAAAATTTTTAAAAATTTGCACATAAAGATTTTAGTGTTTATGAGCTACAAAATGATATCAGTTTTGTTATATTTTGAGCAAAGAAAAAAAAAATTCTTTAAAAACACATGTTTGTTATTATCTTATCATCACCATATCATGATCTTTAGGGGCAGAGGGAGGAGGGTGGGTCCTCGACACCAGCCTTGGAAAAAAAACTATCAATATATATAGCTGCCCGTGAAGATTGAAACCCGGCATTGTATGATTCAATGACTAGCTTACTTAACCAACTAGTTCATGCTATTTCAGTAATATTTTATAGTTAATTATTATAATAAAAATATTTATATAAATGGATTTTGAACAAATAAACATTTTGTATCCTAAATTCCCGAATCTATGTGTCGATCTCTGATCTCTCCCTCAAACAGTGGCGGATACATGCATGTTTAGGGGTGTCTTGGGACACCCCTAAAATTTGGAAACACGATTATTCAACCATCGACAGTAGTTTGCGTATAAGCACAAAAATGTTTAAATGGTAGTGGGACACCCTTAAAATTTGAGAAAATGCTTATCCGACCTCCCGTAGTAGTTTGCGTATTGGTACAAATAATATTTAAGTAATAGTCTATGTGATTTAAATTTAGGACACTGTCTTTATTAGTAAACCTATTTTCAATTACACTACAACTCATTTGTCATTGTGTTTTAGATCCAAATATAATAGTAAAATGCTAATTTTATTTTTCGAAACTTAGCAATGAACCCAATTACCGGATACCCTTGTCTAATAGGATATGTCGAGAGATATTTGTTGAGCAGTATAGACACCGGATGTATTTTACCATTTTACGAAACACGTATGAGCTTTTTAATGTAACTTTTATTATTTAAATATTTTCATATTTAATAATTATTTAATTAAATTAAATTTTTGGGAGAGGACACCCCTATGTAAAATTCCTAGATCCGCCACTGCCCTCAAACACAAATTAGTTGGGAACCTCTTACCCACCCACTGTCGTTCGCGAATCCCACCAGACGAAGCGAAGGCTGAAGTTGGCCGTCTCCGTCGTTTTTCCTCCATCCACCACCTTCTGTCTTGTACCCACAGCGACCTTATAAGTCGAGATATTATGCAAAGAAAGTGAAGACCATTTCAGGAGTTCAAGAGCTTGCTACCTTTTATCTTAAGGAATTCTCTAAGAATGACATTTTACACATTGATACTCAACTAGATACAGTGGCGGAGCTAGCTTGGAAGAGGGTGGGTCCCCGGACCTACCTTGGCTCGAGATTAAGTACTTGTTTGGAAGTTGTGATTGTTAAATATATATATTAATACGAAATTCAATCTCACAATACAAGTAACAATCTCACGTAAATAATCGCAACTTCACAATATATATATTTGTACGAAACCCCTCATGTTAAAATCAAACCCCTCATGTTCACTACTTTTCTACTAACATATTGTAGAAAACTTTATAGCACATATTAACCTTACATATTATGTAATTAACTCTAGATTTTTACATAAAACTACATCTCTAATGATTTATTCTTAGTTTTTTAATTTATAATTTAGGGTAAATTTCTCCATCCTCAAACGAAATCGGTCGAAAACTATAAAAACACATCGTGGGTCATGTAAATATTAATTATATTTATCATATATATTTTTATTTTCACGTCGGACCCACCTTGAATGAAATCCTGGCTACGCCACTGACTAGATAGTTATATCTTTGATGTGAAGACAACTAAGAGATTCACTAAATTGAAGGGAATTGATGAGCTTTCTCGGAAAATGGTTCTGTCGAAGAAGTTATTATCATTTCAATTGGTGTATCGGCTTCTCAAATTGGCATTGTTGCTACCAGATGCTACAACAAGTGTTGAAAGACTATTTTCTGTAATGAACTATGTGAAGAACACATCGGGGAGTCGAATGAGTGATGAAGTGTTTAATGGTTTTTTGATGGGATATATAGAGAGAGTTATAATCTAGATAATTTGGATGATGAATGTATTTTAGAGTATATTCAAAATATGAAAACACGTCGTGCGTTATTGTAAACATTTATATATTTTATTATATATATATTTTTTATGATTGCATCAGACCCATCTGGTGCATTATAGCATCCTTGGGCCTCGTGGCCGAGTTCGTGGTCGAGTTGGGCTTAGTAATTAGGATTATTAATAGTTAATTGTTAAGTTATTATGATTATTCTTATTAGTTATTGTGTCTTGTTAAGGAAGTTATTAATTACTTGTTGGGTTAGGATTAGTTTACCTGTTTGAGAGGGAAAAGGGTATGAGAGTAGTCCTATAAATATGTATATTGTTCTTTGGTTTTCGGTAAGCAATGAATAAGAGTAAAGTAGATTAGAGTAATTTAGCTATCTTTATCGCGTTTCATTAGTTTCGTATAGAAGAGTTCGAGTTCCACGATACGTGAGATTCCGCTATCACGCATCACCATCCTAAGAAAAATCACAGCTACGTCACTAATGATCTTACCACTATTATAAGACTGAGTGAACATCAAACCCCTATCATATCATGATAATATCACTATGGTATAGTGATAATATAATGATATATATGATAGTTATATGATGACATCAAATTATTTTGTCAAATATAAGACCTCACACCAACATCATATCACTATCATATACAACATCATATAACTATCATATCAACATCATAATACTATTTTAAGACTTCACCATACCCATCCCACCAGTTATATCATGATCTTACCACTATGGTAAACTGACAGCAACATGATACCACTGTCAGTGGTATATTGTGATATGATAGTGGTATGATGATTTGGAATTTTTTTGTTCTATGTAAAATAAATCTTACATAATGTGATATGGTAGTGGTATATATGACAACACCAAAATTTTGTCATGCATGCTCGCTGAACTCGTATTCTGTACCTCCAACTAATCATGGACCCAACAGATTGTTCTTGGTGTGGGGTCGTTTGGATGAGGTATTGTTGTAGGATTGTGGTGCAGGATTTTAAAACAATCCTGCACCATGAGAGATTTTAATTAAATAACACGTTTGGAAAGATCAAGAATTGTGGTCATTAGAGATTCTAAAAACCCACATACGTGGGATTTCAAAATAGCTGATGGAGGGCAGCTATTTTGAAATCTCTCTTTTTTTTTTGTCTTATTCCAACTTGGTCCTTCATCCTCTCCTTCCGCCTTCGACCACTCGTCAATAAACTTCACCCCATCGTCGCTCCAAGGAGGAGTATGATTTCGCCGGTGAAACTTCATCTTCCTCTCTCACCGACAGTCCGTCGTTATTATCTCAAAACCCTTCAACGCCGGATTGTCACTTCTGTGGCCATCGTCGCCTCTCATCTTCCCGTAGCCATCCATCCAACTGTCGACATCACCCATTCACTTGTGCTATTTTATTGCGCCGGAGCCGATGAGCAGTTATGTCGCTCATGTCCTCCAATTGCAGACTACGATTCTGGGGCGGTGTTGGTTTGCCTCTGTCGCCGCTCCGTTAGAGGGAAAAGGGTGAAGGGAAAATCTACGGGAAGGGCGGCTATGTCGTTGTTCTATGTGTATTTGAGTGGCGAGATCAGTTTCGGGCAGGCTGCTGGGTACGTTGGGTTTTATTATCTCTTCTTTGTTGGGATTATGTTTTGGATGGATTTGGAGATGAATCATGATTCAGGTGGTGGTAGGGGTAGAGGAGGAGACTATGGGAATAGAGATTTGGAGGTGGTGGTGGATTTTGAGAGTAGTGAAAAGGGAGTTGGCGGTGGTGGAAGCTTGAAGAAGGACGAGACTTGATTGCATGAGAAGGGATGCACATCCTCCTTTCCGGCAATTTCTGGGTTTGATTTATGATCGGAAAAGTCTCGCAGTGATGCTTGCGGCGAAGAAGAAGATGAACAAAGAAGGGTAAAATAGAAATTTGGCTTTTCTAATTAAAAACCCACATCTCTAAACAAACAAGAGATTTGATACAAATCCTTAATCATAAATATCTGGTTTTTTGGTTGAGGAATTTGAGGCCAAATCACTCACAAATCCCTCAAATTAAAAACCTGAATCCAAACGACCCCGGTATGTTTTCTTATTCTGACATCTTCATGTTGTTAAAAGTAGATCACTTCATTCCTTCCATAGGAACTAGAGGAACAAGAAGATCATACTTAAATATAAGGATGTGTTTTCTTGCTTGGGGGAGGTGCCATCTCTTAGGCCTCTCAAAAGAAACTTGTATCACTAGTTCCACTATGGAGTTAGGGTTTGGAGCATGTATGGCTTCCGCTAGAGGAGAGACAAAGTGGT